CCTCAGGTCTTACCACACTTTGGACCAACCACTTATCTCTCTCATCTCCAGGTCAACGGGAGTCAATGGACCGTGGTTGAACTCAGCCTATTTCTTCATTACTGCCTTTCTCCCTCTTCCACTCACCAGTAGACCAGCATGGGCACCAGCAAGCTTACAAACCTGCTCATGTGTTCCCTTTGAGTTTCAGTCTTAGAGGGGGGTTTGTCCTAAAGGAATTTGTTGGTTTTCCTTGTTGGCTTCCTGGCAAACATCTTGCTTATTCTTGCAGTAGTCAGTCATGCTGACATTTTTGTTTTGGGTTTTTCCTGATGATCTTTGTTTGAAGATGCATCTTCTGTCACTCTAGCTGTTCCAGGCTGGTCTGCTTGTCCTTTATATTGAGAATGTCCCGCCTCAGAAGGTTCTAGATGGGACTCAGGATTTCACCTAAGGTCCTATACTCTGCAAAGGCTCCGCAAGAGACCTATTTCACTGGGCAAGTTCTAGAACCTCTTTTAGGTATTCCACTCAGTTATAGGCTGAAGACAGGCATACAAGCTTTTTGTAATCATGTTTCCCGACATTCCTTTCTATCCCACTCAAGTGTCTAGTTTACAGTAGTAGGCAAGGGAAATCAATATCCATAAACAGTCAAGCATCTTAGTATTATTTCCCCTCTTCAAACTATGCCTCAATCCCTATATCAGAGCCCTGTTGTTCCAAGGTTAAGCATACATCACTATTTACCTCTGTCCCACTTAGCCCATGCAAACCTATCTCAATGTTCTCGTCTACCTTGTTCTTTCACCTCCTCACCATTCTTGTATTGCCCTCCCCAACATCCTAACTAAGATGTGTCTGCCGTTGCCCTGTGCTCTACTGTCCCCTCGTCTACCTCCCCCGAAAGCGCCTACCCCAACCCCACTGTTTTCATTACCTTATATTCCTTTAACTTTTCCCTGCACTTGACAGTCTGTTTTATCCTGTAATTTACCTGACCTTGCTACCACCTAGATCTCTGTTCCTCTGTGTTTACCTTCTTTCATATTGTAATTGTTTTGATCATAGGCTGACCTCTCAGATTCTCTGAATTTGTTCTTTTAGTTTTATTCTGTTGTCAACTCTTCCATACGTCTTCCGTTGACTTCCAGGTGATGCTGCCACGTACGTCAATCTCTGGCTGTTGTCCTTGTTGATTCACTGTCCACAGAACTCCCTTTTGGATGTTTTTCATAGCAGGGTTGGCTTTGGCAATATCCCTTAGCTTCTGTTTATCCTGGAATGTTTTG